GGCGGCACGGTAGCACAGTGGTTAGTACTGCTGCCTCACAGCACCAGGGACCCAGGTTCAATCCCAGCCTGGGGCGACTGTCTGTGTGGAGTTTGCACATTCTCCCCGTGTCTGCGTGGGTTTCGTCTGGGTGCTCTGGTTTCCTCCCACAGTCCAAAGATATGCAGGTTAGGTGGATTGGCCATGCTAAATTGCCCATAGTGTTCAGGGAGGTGTAGATTAGGTGCGTTATAGGGGGATGGGTCTGGGTGGGATGCTCTGAGGTTCGGTGTGGACTTGTTGAGCCGAAGGGCCTGTTTCCACACTGTAGGGATTCTACAATATAATTCTATGATATACTTTAGAGACTTTTAAATGACTCTTGGATAGGCACATGGAGCCTGTACTGTTCTATGTTCTATTCCCTTTGAAATGTCGGGCAACATTCCATTTAAGGTTCTTGCGAAGATTTGTAGCTCGGGTTGTGGATGATGTTGTTGGCTTGCTTGCTGAGGTGGTTGGTTAATTGTACAGATGTTTCATCAACTTGCTAGGTAACATCATCAGTGCAGCCTCCGATGAAGAGATGTTATTCCACTCAAGCCAACCACAGACATGCACGGGAATTCCTAGAGGCCTGGTTTTCATCCTGTAATACAAGCAACAAACATGTGGAATTAGACCCCATATTCAAACCCGTGCAAAAAAGAACTGGAAATGACACAACCCAACTTAATAGACCAGATCATATAAATTCTAAGTGGAGTAGAACAAAATTGCTTCATCGGAGGCTGCACCAATGATATTACCTAGCATAGTGATGAAATGTCTGTAAAATAACCAGCCAACTCGGCAAGCAAGCCAACAACCTCAATATTCCATTTGTCTTCCCTATTACCTGTTGAACTTTTTATGATTCACACACAAGGACTCCGAAACCCTTCTCAGCTACAGCTTTTTGCAGTTGTTCTCAATTTTAAATAATATTCATCTCCTGTATTCTTCTGCCAAAGTGCATAACCTCTCATTTTCCTGTATTAAATTGGAGATGCAATATTTTGCCCACTTACATAAGCAGTTTATATCCCTCTGCAGACTCTGTCATTCCCAGTAGTTGCCTTCCTATCTATTTGTGTCATCTGCAAACTTTCCTCATCTAAGTCATTAATTATTATAAATAATTGTGGCCCAAGTAACGATCCCTGTGGCACTTGACTAGTTACAAGTATATTAATGCTCTGGCCCAATTGACTCCTTCTGTGCTGTAAAGTTATAAAAATTATAGATTCAAAAATGTCTTGTCCTAGTCTGATTTGAGTTCCAGTTTATCTTAAAAGGGGCAAAGCCTCCATCCACCTTTTAAAACCACAGGCCATGCCAGAGGAGCAGAAGCTGCCTGTGCTACAAGTTCTGTTTTTTTTCCCCAGCCTAGGTGATCAGCTCAGACAAAAGTACAAAGGAATATCATGTAAACACGTTAAGTATTCAAAGGCTCATATCACACGGTTTGATGTTACCCAATTTGCTTACTTTCTTTTGACTTTTTGTCAAGGTAATTATGACTTTTTGGAACATGGGAGCTAAATTAGACACAACAAAACACTGAGCATATACAAGTAAACATTGTCAGTATTATCTTTCTAAAATCCACATATTCTGTCACTCAACTTGCACTAATTTATTCCACTATCATACAATGTGACAATTCTTTAAATGTTTGCTAAACTTTCCCATCCAAATCTTTTCCTGGTCCACCTTGTTTAGCAATATGACAAAGTAGTGCTCTTTCAACGGTGTGATGTAATTGTGTTTGCTGTATTCAGCATCAGCGCAAGTTAAGTAGACTTTTAAATAACATGAATCCAATAATAACCGAGAACTGTGAATGGCAGGGAGCAATAGTGTGTGCAAAACCAGAGAGAGATTTTCACCAGGTTGGAATTTTAAATTAGGTAGCATTGTTGATATTATCATTGTCTTTTGAATTTCACATGTCAATGAGCATGATGCTAACCCATGTGATTTAATCTCAACTCCGTTCTTTTAAAGGACCAGTTCAAAGATGGCATTTGGAGGAGTTGGGAAGTTTAGGAAAGAGTGGCAAACTTATAGGATGGACTCTGGATGATCAATTTTTTTTTTTTTTGCTTTAATTTAATTGTATCTCCTGTAAGGTATTGCTGGGTATAGTAAGGAACTGGAAGGAGATAGTTTTCCATTGCTGAAGAAACTTGAAACCTGCTGCTGTCAGAAGAAGGTCCGGTTAAAGTTGGTGGAAGAAGTTGGCAGGAGTATTGTACTTCACACCAAGATCAAATGCAGGAAGTGGTTTACTGACCTAAGCATATCAAGAAATACAAGCAGCTGTGAATTTGGTTACATCATGTCATCTCACACTCTCATTTTGTTTGTCAAACAATTGCATTAATTTTCTCAGTCACTTAATTCTGGACATAATCACTTACTCACTTGCTCTGCATTTCCTCAACTTACCAGTTATCCGTTCACTACTTCCAGTCAACCTCCAGCAATAGGGGAACTACTGGGTGAAGACATGCCTTACAAAAATTAACAGACCTATAGTTCCCCTATTACTGAAGGAGAGAACATAAAAGACAAAGAGGGAGAGAATCAGTTGTGGGCTCCTACAAATAATGCAACTGATATTAGAGGAATAGTCCACAGAAATCAGTGGTATATCTGCATCTGTAACCAATTGTGATGGACATGCTGAGACATTGCAGCTCCTTGCTCACAGAATTAAATATATACAATCCACATTTTATCGAACACTCATGTAATGTTGATAAAAACTAGAGAAACTGAACAAGTCTGGCAGTGAGAGAAACAGAAGTTAACATTTCAAGTCCGATATGACTCATCAAACATTGCAAGTTAACTCTATTTCTCTCTCCACAGCTGCTGCCAAACTTGCTGCATTTCTTCAGCACTTTCTGATTTTATTTCTGATCTCCAGCATCCAGAGTATTTTGCTTTAATTCACATCATGTTGACTTCATTTCAGCAGTGGATGCACTTGATCATTTTAATTATGCAAAGTAGAAATAGTTTTACATTGCAAATTCTGCTTGGGCCATCACACGCAGAACAGCAGTCCGTGGACTTATTAGGTGACTGTTCTGTGGAGCCGCTTGTTTCTTCTGAGGGTACAGTGTTAAAGAACATAATCCTAGCAGGTATCAGCACAGTTTTGTTTAAATGGTTCCTGTTAGGGAACAGAGTTTTCATTTGGAGATTCACGTTCACAAGTTAGCATGAACAGAATGTGGTTGGCTGTGGTACCTGTGGTGAATCCATAAATGGAGGGTGCATTCCACTCCAAGTTCTATGCTGCTGGACATAAATGCTGAAACTCGGGAGTCAGTGATGAAAAACACAGCTCCAGAGATACAGTCGCATATCTGTAAGGAACCGGCAATCACACATTGTCCATAACAGCAGAAAGGATAGAGGAGTCCAGATCATATTTAACAGATTGATACAAAGATGTCTTCAGACAGACTTCCCCCTGCCTCCTGTAAAACTTCAGTTCCAGAAGTCAAATAAATCAATACACATTCTGTCCATAGCCATGCAGAGTGGATCCCAACATGGACAGGATGACTAATTCATTAGCTATGGCCTTTGCATGTGTCATTGATTTTCAGCAACATTTTTCAGTGCTTGTGGATGAATGTGAAGGCATGAATTGATGGGGACCAATTGGTGGATGTGCAGTATGTATTTAAGGGATGGCTTTGTGTTTGAGGGGATGGACCAGGTGATGTGGTACAATATGTTCCCTTTTTAAGTTGTCTTATTCAGCTTTGCTTTAGGATCATAGAATGGGACCAATATGGTGCATTTAACATCAGAAATTTAGCATTAGTGTTTTGTGCCAGGGCTGGCAGACTGCGTGATCTGATCAGTACCATTTTTGAGTGGCCTCTCTCACTATCTAACAATCTTTCCCTCTCTCTCCCTTTAACTCTCCCACTTGTTGCTTCCCTGCTCCACTCGTGACTCCTTTTAGTCCCTTTCTTGCATCCTCCCTCTGTGAGGGTTTCAGAGACTAAGTGGTGAGCAGGGAAGTTGGACAGGGAGAGAACATATGTGGGAAAGACCAGGAGCTGGAGTTAAGAGGAAACAGTTAACATTTCTTATCAAAATTATAAATTTAAATCAGTTATTTCATTTATCAAAATAGGTATTTAGGAGTGCACAGTATTTAAACTTACACTATAATGTTTTTAAATATTTTAAAATATTTTTTAAATGTTTGGGGCACATGGTGGCTCAGTGGTTAGCACTGGTGCCTTGGAGCACCAGGGACTTAGATTCAATTCCAGCCTTGGGTCACTGTCTGTGTGGAGTTTGCACGTTCTCCCTGTGTCTGCATGGGTTTCCTCCAGGTGCTCCAGTTTCCTTCCATAGTCCAAAGATGTGCTGGTTAGGTGGATTGGCCATGCTAAATTGCCATGCAGTGTCCAAGGATGCACAGGTTTGGTGGGTTAGCTGTGGTAAATATAGGGTTACGGCAACAGGGTGGTGTGGGTCTGGGTGGATTGCTGTCTGGAGGTTGGGTGTAGACTTGATAGCTTGAATGGCTTCTTTCTGTGCTGTAGGGATTCTATGATTCTATTCTATTTTTTTTGATAGAATAGTTCTAGAAAAGTAACTACAACTTTTACATTGGTTGCAATGGGAAAATCTGAATTGTTTAAAATTATTTCACCTAAAGTTGCACTTTTTAGGAATGCAACTGCAACTTTAAGTAAGGAATTACTGTACTTACTTTTTTTTAGTTAAATCTCATTGATTAACAAAGTTTAAGTGGTTGTTAAGTCCCTGGCAAACAAAGCAGGGCCTGCAAGAGAAATCATGAGCCACAGTGCTTCACCTGTTTACTGTCACGTAGGTGCTCTGACAAATCAACTGTACACAATGGAAGTAGAGAATGAGGATTGTTTAACTTAATTTGTTTAAAATGTTTGCTCAAAGATAATGTTTATCTTTTTCAGTTGCCAGATGAAAGTACAAGATGTAAATCAGACAATGATTGTGCAGCTGGACAGTACAACTCCCATAGCAATGGTATGTTAAGTTTAATTTTACTGTCAGGGCATTATGCAGGATCAAATACCAATGGTAAACATGTAATGTTGGTCCTTTACTGCTCTTAAACACATTATTTGATAGGAGTTCTTCAACTAATGGCTGTTTTTGTAAAAATAAATGTTCTTGGTTTTCAAATTCTGACTTGGAAAGTCATCTTTTTTAAAATGCATGTGATAACCTAGAATCCTTGATTAAAACTGCATGTGTGGTGAATCCCACTCCTATGTATCACTGAAGTTGCAGTTTTCGATCCAGTTTGTGGTATAACTAAGTGAATCAAGTAATGGTCGAGAAAAGAATCAAAGTCAGGTGCAAGATTTGAGATCAGAGATGACAGCATCACCCTTCCCTTTCTCTTCTTTCCACCAAACCCCCAACATCACCAGTGTTAGCGAAGGTACTTTTGGAAATTGACAATTTAAGATTGGCCAACATCCAAAGCACAGGGAACAGCAAAATTCAAAACAACACACAAACAAGGTGATAACGAAGTGTGGAGCTGGAGTAACACAGCAGACCAAGCAGCATCAGAGGAACAGGAAAGCTGACGTTTCAGGTCGGGACTGTTCTTCAGAAGCTGACCCAAAACATCAGCTTTATTGTTCCTCTGCTGCTGCCTGGCCTGCTGTGTTCCTCCAGCTCCACACTTTGTTATCTCTGACTCCAGCATCTGCAGTTATTGCTATCACACAAACTAGGTGACTTTGAACATTTTTTTTTAAAAAAGGTTTGAAAGTTGTGGGATTAAGCAAAGACTGAAAGAGGTAAAGTATCCATAGTTTAAGGTCTGGAGGTAGATTGAATTTGACTTAGTCTTTATTTTAATGCAGTGAGAAGGCAAGATGGAGGACAGCAGGTAGGAAATCATATTTGCTCCTTAGTAGTAATAAGAATGTGACGTCCTAACAGCTCTGACTATAATGATTGACCTTCAGGTCACCAGTTTCTTTTCTATCTATGCTCAGCAGAAAAAGCATCCATCCATAAAGCCTTCAATTTATTTTATCTTAAATTCTACTGTGTCTTAGGGCTAACAATATATCTCTTTAACCCTGGATTATACTGAAGATAGTGCAGATTATCCACCGTGTATTCCTGATCTCTCTAATTGGTGGAAAAATACCATGTTTATGAAACACGTAATTCTGGCCAAAGTGACTAATTTTACTTGGTTATAAGAGATATCATAGCACAGAAACAAAAACAAGTCAGCAAATAAGTAGGAGCAAATTACTGATGATGCTGAAATCTCGTCTGAAAAGAAAAAGTTCTGGAGATCACAGCGGATCAGGAAGCATCCATAGAGAGAAGGCAAGCTAATGTTTTGAATCCAGATGACTCTTCATCAGAGCCGAAGTGAAGTGTGGAGCGGCCAGCATTTATGCAATTGTGGTGGTGGTGGCAAGAAAAGATGTTAACAGTTCAGATTAAGTGATAAGAATGTGGATCTGAACTATCAACATCCTGTCTCCACCCCGACTACTGCATAAATGCTGCACCTGACAAAGGGGCTGTGCTATGAAAGCCTGTGATTTCAAATAAACCTGTTGGACTATAACCTGGTGTCATCTGACTTCTGACTTTGCACAAGTACGTGGTGAAATTCTTGATAGGCAGTAATGAGATGCCAACTGACAGGGATTAAGTGCTTGTAAAACACCTTGTTAACACAACTCATTAATATTCATACTTTACCAAACTCTCCAAACAAGTTTGAAGGTCAGGAAAACTTGACAAGGAAGTCAGAGAGCATATCTGGCAGTTTCAGCTCGACACTTGTTCTAAACCACCACCATCTGGAAGACAGGCAGCAACAGGTCAGGGGTCAATTCATGGGCACCAGTTGCAATCCTCTGTTGTCTACATACAGAGGCATGCAGCATCTGCCAACCCAGCACAACCCTCATGACCCCTCCATGATACACTGGCAGGTGACTCATGTGGCACAGAGATGCATAACAAAGTGGAATAATAACTAGCATCAAAAAGGCTGCAGCAGGGACACCTTTGCATGGACAGACAGGGACCCAACTCATGGAATAGATCAGGCTGCACCTTAGAGCTGCTCCTTTCCCTCCTAGCGCTTACTGGTCTTGCACCTTCCATACCTTCCATGCTGTGCCAGAGCATTGGTGCTTGCCGGTGCGAAAAGCTGTCATCCATGCCATTCTAAAGGACTTTTTAGCATAGGCATACAAAGGCTTGGAATGTCCTGGTGTGGGAGTGGGGGTTGTTGTGTTCTTGTTGTATAGCACACTGAGACAGTAATGTTACACCTACAGCATGTGTCAACTGCCTGCATGACAAATACTCTGTATGTTCATTCAACCAAATGAATGTGGCAGAAACTGTTAGACAAGTACTTGGTCAAGTCAAGGGGATTTTGCAATTTTTGAGGGGTTGCTGGTACTGTCAGTCATGAACACAGTCCATAGGCTCTGTCACAGTTATGAGACTGTTTGGGACACCGAAGATCTAGGAAAATGTCCCAATACAGTCTGGGAGTGAGGGTCAGTGGTCAGTCCTTGGGGCCAGCATAAGGAGTAAGGGGAATTGTGTGTTGTTAGTTTAGGATTTGCAAACACAGCAGTTAAGTAGCCTGTGAGTTATATTTGGGCTGATTATCAGAATCAGTCACAGCTCAGGGACAATTACAGTACTGTGTCTCTGTCTGTTGATTTTTCTCAGGGTTTGGGGTCATGGGAGAGTCAATGATGGAAGGGGACCTGGCTTGGTGGAGAATAGCAGCAGCATTTGTCATTGTGAGAATAAGGATAGTGCTAGGGAATCTCCATTCGAAACGGGGACAATTTGGAACAACATTGGAGGGGATGGTAGGCTATTGGAGAGGGATTATTGACTGCAGCCTCCACAGAGGGAACTTAAAGGGGCACGTGGGCATCAGTAATGTGTATTGCTGGGTTTTGGGGAGGGGTGTTCAGTTGTGTGTAAAGTTCAGTGTGGTGGCTCTCCACAATAGGGAGATTGATCAGAATGGATTGTTGGATTAGTGCGAGGCAATAGAGAACATAGAGATTCAGGGATGGGGTGTCCTGGCTACCAGGCTGGTTCTGGTTCTGATAGTATCCAGCATGATCTATGTTGCCAGTCACTACTTTCCCTCTCTAGAGGTGAAGTGCTCCTAGAAAATAGCTAGAACAATGTCCAGGGTGGGTGGACTATGTCAGTTTGATGACTGAAAGCAGTACGTTGTAATGACCAAAACATGAACCTCCCTTTTGCAATAAGCAGCTACGTTGGATCTGTCATCATTGTATCACCCATTTCACATGCATTTAATTTGAGGGTCTCAGATCCTGGTCAAAGGCAATTGGGGGAGGAGTGAGATTGTCACCAAGCCAGGAGCAGCAGCAGGCCTCCTTAGAAGGTGAGGCGCAAACAGCTCAGGGAGACCTTGCAGGTGCAGGGCCCCTCAATACCTGGGATGTGCAGGAGCTCAGAGCTTTCTGACCCAGACTTCATTTACTGGCCTCAAGCAAGTTGCAGTGCTGACACAGGCTCTGTATGTTGTGGCATACTGTGACAGAACTGTGGTGGATGCTGGAGTGGGACCTGAGGGCTGCGCAAGTGGGAATCCATCCTCTCCCAGTGGCTGTGAAGATTGCTGTGGTGTTGAACTTGTGCAAGACTGCTCGTTTCCTGAGGAATGACAGGTGACCTGTGTGGGATCTCTCATACATCTACAAAATGCATCAAGACAGTGACTGATGCCATCTGTGCAAGATCACTGGGTACTTTTGTTCCTTCAAGATGAGGTCAGTGCTGCAGCTCGGATGGTTGGATTCTGGAATAAAGCTGGTTTCCTCCAGGTACAGGGTGCCACCAACTGTACACATGGTACTGAAAAGGCCACATTACAATACAATGGAATTCATCAACACAAAGGGGTTCTGTTCATTCAATGTTCAGGTAATATGTGATCACCATTCCACTTCCTAGAGGTGTGTGCCTGCTACCCTGGCAGCTGCCGTGATTCGTACGTCCTGGAGTACTCTCGTGTACAGGTGTATTTGAGGGTACAGGGGTCTTAGAAGGTTGGTTTCTGGGTGATGAGGGCTACCTACTGTGACCTTGGCTCAAGACTCCCTGTTGCACAATCTCCTGACTGATGTGCAGTGTAGGTTTAACGTTGTCCATGCCTTAACCAGGGTTGCAGTGGAACAGAGTGTAGGGCAGCTGATGGTGCAGAACTGCTAATTGGAGTAATCTTGATGGGTTGTGCTGTGGTGGGAGAATGTGACCTAGGAGCAGGGGTACGCAATTCAGCCCCTTGAGCCTGCTTCACCATTTAATATGATCATGGCTGATTTCATCTTGCATCAACTCCACTTTCCTTACTGCTCCTCATGACCCTTCAACATGTTATGAATTAAAAATATTTCTCCCTCAAATTTACTGTTTAAACCTGCTAACCTTTATCTTAAAATTATGACCTCTTGTCCTAGATGGCCCCACCAACTTTCTTTCAACATCTACTTTACCAATCCCCTTTAGCACCTTATGTACCTTAACTAGATCTTCTCTCATTCTTCTAAACTCGAGCATGTATATTCCTAAACTGCTCAATCTCTCCTCATAAGACAAGTCTTTCATCTCTGGAATTAATCTAGTGAATTCCCTCTGAACTATCTTCAAATATATCCCTTGTTGGGTAATGGGCCAAAACTATAGCAATACTCCAGGTGCAGTTTCACTATTGTCTTGTACAGTTGTAGCAACACTTCCCTATTACCATTTGTGCAGCACCTTATCAAATGCCTTCTGGAAGTTCAGTTATCCTATATCTACAGGATCCCTATTAATGACTTTGCTTGTTACATCTTTGAAGAACTCCAGCAAATCAGTCAAATATGATTTATCCTTAAGGAAACCATGCTGACTCTGATGGATTGTGCTTTTACTTTCTAAATAACCTATTATTACTTCCTTTATAATGGATTCTAACTATTTCCTTCTGACATATGTTAAACTAACTGGCCCATAGTTTCATACTTTCTGCTTTCCTCCGTTTTTTTTGAATGAGGGTGTATTATTACATTTTTCCATTTCACAAGAGTGTTTCCTGCGTTCAGGGAATTTTGGAATATTATAACCAGTATATCCACTATCACTTCGTTTAAGACCCTAGGATATAAGCCACCAAGCTCTGGGGACTTGTCCATCTACAATTCCAGCAGTTTGCTCCATACTTTTTCCCCTAGTAATTATGATATTTGTAAGTTCCTCCTTTCTACATTAACTCTTATTATTAGGATGGCATTAGTGTCCTCCACCGTGAACATTGAGACAAATTATTGATTTAGATCTTCGTCATTTCCGTGTTCCCCACCAATAACTCCCCAGTGCTCTGCGTAAGCCAATATCTATGTAAGAATAGATTTTCTTCTTTATAGATAACACAGTGTGGAGCTGGAGGAACACAGCAGGCAAGCTGACGTTTCAAGTCAGGACCCTTCTTCAGAAATGTGGGAGGGGGAAGGGGGCTCTGAAATAAATAGAGAGAGGAGGGGTGGGGCTGGGGAAGGTAGGTGGGATGGTGATAGGTGAGTGTAGGTAGGCAGTGGTGGGGATTGGTCAGTGAGTTGGGAGGAGCGAGTAGGTGGGAGAGAAGATGGACAGTTCAAGGAGTGGGGGTTGATAATGGGATGAGGCTGGGGGTGGGGAGATTTGGAAACTAGTAAAGTCCACATTGAGACCATTGGGTTGTAGGCTCCCAAGGCGGAATATGAGGTGCTGCTCCTCCAGTTTCCGGGTGGCGTCGTTGTGACACTAGAGGAGGCCCAGGATGGACATGTTATCCAGGGAGTGGGAGGGGGAGTTGAAGTGGTTCGTGACTGGAAGTTGTTGTCGTTTGTCGCGAACCGAGCACAGGCGCTCTATAAAGCGGTCTCCGAGCCTCCGCTTGGGCTTACTGATGTAGATGAGGCCACATCGGGAGCAGCGGATGCAATAGACCACATTAGCGGATGTGCAGGTGAACATCTAGCTGATGTGGAAGGTTTTTTGGGTCCTGGGATGGAGATGAAGGGGGAGGTGTAGTGGCAGGTGTAGCACTTCCTGCAGTTGCAGGGAAAGGTGCCGGGGATGGTGGGGCTAGTGGGGAGTGTGGAGCGGACGAGGGAGTCGTGGAGAGAGCGGTCCCTATGGAAGACACCATAGGGGTGGGGAGGGAAATATATCCTTCGTTGTGGGGTCAGATTGCAGATGGCGGAGAACCTCTGGTGTTGAATCCAGAGATTAAGTGGGGTGATACGTGAGGACAAGGGGGATTCTGTCTTTGTTTTTGTTGTGGGGAGGGGGTGTGAGGGCAGAGATGCGGGAAATGCAAGAGATGCGGTTGAGAGCGTTTTCGACCACTGATGGGAGGATGTTGTGGTCCTTGAAATATGAGGACATCTGGGATGTTCGGGAGTGGAACGCCTCATCTTGAGTGCAGATGTAGCAGAGGTGGAGGAATTGGGAATAGGGAATCGCATTCTTGCAGGAAGGTGGGTGAGGAGATGTAGTCTAGGTAGCTGTGGGAGTTGGTAGGCTTGAAATAGATATCAGATGAGGTGGTCACCAGAGAGGTCCAGGAAGGAGAGAGAGGTATCGGAGATGGTCCAGGCGAACTTGAGGTTGTGGTGAAAGGTGTTAGTAAAGTTGAAGAACTGTTCAAGCTCCTCATGGGAACACAAGGCAGCGCCGATACAGTCATCGATGTAGCGGAGGAAGAGCTGGGGGATAGTGCCAGTGTAGCTGCGGAAGAGGGACTGTTCCATGTATCCTACGAAGAGGCAGGCATAGCTTGGGCCCATGCGGGTTCCCATGGCCACCCCCTTAGTCTGTAGAAAGTGGGAGGAGTTGAAGGAGAAGTTGTTAAGGGTAAAGACGAGTTCTGTTAAGCAGATGAGGTTGTCGCTGGAGGGGGACTGGTTGGGCCTGCGGGAGAGGGCTTTTGGACCATCTGCATGGGGAATGCAAGTTTATAGGGATTGGAAGTCCATTTTGAAGATAAGTTGTTGGGGGCCTTCTTTTTAACTAATTAGTAAGATTTATATTGAGAAATGCAGAAAAGGGCTTCTTTTTTAATTACAAATGTTACTGTGACTTTTTATGTTTGTTTGTAGGGGTTTTAACTGGAAAATGTGTCCAATATGATGTAAATGTGAAAACCTGTGAGATTTTTGCTTGGTGTCCTCTGGAGAATGATACAGTTATTCCTAAGTAAGTAAAATATTGGTTAAAAGTCTTATTAATTATTAAGAATTAAAAACAGAAAATTCATGATACTTGAGCCTTTAAGATTCTGACTTCTTTTAATAATTCTATATATTTTCCTACAATTATAGAAACAAAAACTGAACAGAATAATCCAGCTGCTTCATCAAATCTAGACAAGGCGTCTTAGCTGCATAAACACACCCTACATTTATATTTTAATATTTTGTTTGTTTTCTTCACCACTGTGGAGCTGAACTTTGATACACACAGAACTGCTCGCTTCAATTGTGTTACTTCAAACATAATGCAACTTAATGGCATTTGATGCACATAATGCATTTGACGTTCTCACTTCTGTCTCTCGTCAGGAGTTCACACATCCATGTTGAATACCACCTATTACCTATCCACCCATTATACTATTTTATTAAAATCCCTTCAGAGTATTCATTTTCTGAAATTCAGGTATTTATTTCCTGCCACATACTCATCCATCAGATCCACATCTCCTAAAATAAAATCCAGATCAAACAATACCTTGCCATTATGAACCAATGAACCTTTCCAATCTGACCTTTCCCTTCCAGCCAACATTTTATGCTGTTACTCAAAGTCTTGGATATCTTCCCTGATTAAGGCAAGGCTTGCCAGTGTTTTTAATGATACAGTTCCAATTGTTACTTTTCAAATCATTTATTTGTTATTCAGTTTCAATGGCCTTAAAAAGATATTAGTAAGTGGATCTGCTATCCTCTCTGGCAACTTGTAGCCCATTGGATTGTCAGAGACTGAACCTTTCTAATATGCTTTCACTTGTGATTCTGAGGATTTCCAGCCTAATAGCTAATTTCAGAGAGAAGGATGTGAGCAATCTCTTCCATTCTATTAAAAGTTAACCATGAGTTAGTGACCAATGAGAATGTTGTTGATGATAAAGTTATGATCACTCACAGCACAGTTTTAACTCTGTGAAATGGTTCTGAGTGAGTTAAACTCTGGTTAAAAGTGTAAGAGGAGCTGCATCACAAGGATACGTCAAAGAAAAGCCAACAGTCAGATATGAAAATCCCAATTGAAGGAATATCATTCCTAAGTGTGGTAAAGGAAACTAAAACCAGAAAAAAGTACCCTCAATTAGGTATTGAAGTTGTTAGTAGTTGCCAGAGGTCTTACATGACTAGACTGCAACTGTTAAGATTGTTATTATGTTGCAATGTTGCAATGCTGCAAGATTTTCATGGTTTGGTGTTGCCTGAAAAGAGTACTCCAACCTTTTACCCAGATATTCTTCTCTTGTGTGACAGACAAAAGGCAGGGAACTGAATTTAATTTAGAATTTAATTAAACAAACCCTTCTTTATTTAACTCTTCAGTACCAATACTCCAATACAAGACATACATTTTGTTGCAACATTTACTTCATACTTCATCTAATTTAACTTCAACATTACCCCACTTCATTTAACCTCACTTTAACTTAACCCACAATTTACCCTTAATTTAAATTTAACTGTATTAGTTTGGCTTGAAACAAATACAACCCTGATTCAAGTGAAGTGCCCAACTTTGCTCTCAGTGTAGATCTTGGCTTTGTGTTCTTTGTCTTCTTTGAAGATGACTTCATGCTTCTCAAATGCGGTCTCAAAGGCTCACTCCTGCACAGTGCTTTATTCTGCTAATTTTTAAAATCACAAAATTGCTGGTTTCTAGAAACCTCTCTGGCACTCAGCCAATTAATTGAATAAACCCTGATCACAATGTTCAATCCCAGCCAATGGAGTGTACTGGTAAACAATTCCCAAATGTTTACACCAAGTTGAAAACAGCCACCTACCATGCTCCATGTAAGTCAATAGTGGTGCCAGCATGTCTAGCAGACCACCATGACACCTCCCTTTATTTGGTCAACACAGGAAACTGTAGGTTACAGGACAGGTCACAACATGTCCAGATTGCCAGTTTAACCTAGGTCAGAGTTGAAACTAAATTGACCAAAATTCCTAGCATGTTTGGCTGTAGCTCTTGACCAGTCACGTAGCCATTTCTGCTGTTGGCCATCTGACCACATTAGGTTTAAGTACTACAAACTGTATACCATGAACAACTGAAATCATATCACGAGAAACAGAAATACATTGGAGAATTTCTTCTGAACTTCTCCAAAATAAACATGAAAAAAAAACTAATCTGTAGTTGCATCAGAGATAGTAGGAACTGCAGATGCTGGAGAATCCGAGACAACAAGGTGCGGAGCTGGATGAACACAGCAGGCCAAGCAGCATCATAGGAGCAGAAAGGCTGATGTTTCGGGCCTAGACCCTTCTGACTCTGCACCTTGTAATCTGTAGTTGCATTAGTTTTGGGCCTAAAATACCCATTTCCTGATAGTTAAGTACTGCAATAGCCATTCAAAAGGCAATGGCCATAGTATTTGGGTGGGGTGTGATAGACTGATGGTATTGTTGCTGGAATAGAAATCCAGAGACATAGGTAGCTCACCAGGGCAAATGGTGGAATGTCAATTCAATAAAAAAAAAACCTGGAATTAAAAGTGTCATGATGACCATATTACAATTATCAATGGTTATTAAAAAAAAAATCTAGTTCACTAATGTCCTTCGGGGAAGGAAATTGCTGTCCTTACTTGGTCTAGCCCATGTGTGACACCAGACATATGGCACGGTCTTTAACTCTTAACTGCCCTGTGAACTACTGAAAAATTTAAAAAAAAAGAAACTTGACAGACCACATGGCATTGACAAATGCATGAATCGACAATAACAATCACAGGCTTATTGACACTGACAAGTCCTCTTTACTAACTTGGGGACTAGTGCCAAAATTGGGAGAGCTGTCAAGCAACAGCCTGATACAGGCATAATCATAGAATCATATCTTCCAATGTCCCAGACAACACCATCACCATCTTCAACCAATCGGATTCACTCTATGATATCAAGAAATGATGGAAGGCAATGGGTACTGCAAAGGCTGTGACAATATTCTGGCAATAATACTGGAGATTTATGCTCCAAACTTGCTGTGTCCCTAATCAAGCTGGTCCAGTTCAACCACAAAATTGGTATCTATCTGACAATGTGGAAAATTGCCCGGCTATGTCCTGTACACAAGAAGTAGGACAAATCCAGTCTGGCCAATTACTGTCCCATCAGTCTACTCTTGATCAGTAGTAAAGTGAAGGATGGTGTCATCGACAGTACCATCAAGCAACTCTTGCTTAGCAACAATCTGCTCACTGACACTCAGTTTTGGTTCTAGTAGAAGTCATACCTAGCACAAAGGAACATGATTGTGGTTGTTGGAGGTCAGTCATGTCAGCTTCAGGAGTTCCTCAGGGAGGTTTCTATCCGAACCAGCAGCTTTAGTTATGACCTTCCCTCATTCATAAGTTCAAAAGCAGTTCACTGACGATTGCACAATGCTCAGCATTAGTCATGATTCCTCAGATACTGCAGTAGTCCATGTCGAAATGCAGCAAGATCCAGACAGTATCCAGGTGTGGCTGACAACAGGCAGGTAACATTCATGCCAGGCAATGACCATCTCCAACAAGATGGAATCTAACTATTATATCTTAACATTCAATGGCATTACCATCTTGAAACCCCAACATCAAAACCATTGATCAGAAATGAACTGGACCAGCCAAATACCGCAGCTACAAGAGCAGGTCAAAGGCTAGGAGTCTTAGATTCTTGAATACCAAGGGGGCAAAAGATTATCGAGGCTCTGCAGGAATGTAGATTTGAAGTTAAAATCAGATCAGCCATGATCTTATTGAATGATGGAGCAGACATGAAGGCCTGAGTGATCTACACTTGTTCCTTGTTTATATGTAATCCTTCAGCAAGCAACTCCCCTTCTAACTCCTCAAAGTGTGTCCACCATCTACAAGAAACAAGTCAGGAGTATGACGCAGAACTCCTGAGTGCTACTGTAGAAACACTTGAGAAGCTTGACACCATTCAGGACAAAGCAGTCCACTTGATTGGTACCACATCCACAAATCTTCAATCCCTCCATCACCAACGCTCAGTAGCAGCGGTGCACCATCTACAAGACGCACTGCAAAATTTTCACCAAGACTCCTGAGACAGCACCTTCCAAAACCATGACTACTACCATCTAGGTAGCAGAAACATGGGAATGTCACCACCTACAACCTGCCCTCCAAGTCACTCACATTGTGACTTGGAAATGTATCGCTATTCTTCAGTATTGCTGTGTCAAAATCATGGAATTCCCACAATCCCTAAAATGTGATTGTGGGTCTACCTACACTAAATGGACAGTAGCAGTTCAAGAAGGCAACTTACCCTCATCTTCTCAAGCGCAATGAAGAATAGGCAACAAATGCTGGCACAGTCAGTGATACCCACATCCCATGAATAAAAACTAAAGAAAAGTTTAATGAGTTGCTCACCTCTCTACTGGTCACTGTTTCTTAACCAACTGAATTTTACTAATGTATTCATTAATATTTAATCAATCAGATAGTTGATTGATCATTTAACAAATAAGCCATCAGGCTGGATTTAATATAGTCCATGTGTGAAATTTGGCAGCTAGGCCCTCCTGGAAAAGACCCTGTGTCAGTCCCCCAGTAGTGGCAATAATTCCCACAATTAAGTGGGAGGGCAGGAGCGGCTGACACAGGATTCCTGACTGGTGTTGCTGGAATGTTAATTAGGTTGACTATTGAGACAAATATACCTATTATCCCTGAGCCTGCTGCAATTAAATGGTGGCATAGACATTAAATGGAGTCTGTGTATACTTTTCCCACAATCTTGGTCTCTGATAGCAGCTGTCAGCAATAAATCTATCACTTCTGCTGGTAACAAGTCTTAAAACACATAAAGGTGGATAAATCCCTAGGACCTGATCAGGTGTATCCCAGAATTTTATGGGAAGCAATTGCTGTGTTCCTTACTGAGAAACCTATATCATCAATAGCCGTGGGTGAGGTGCTAGAAGACTTGAGGATGGCTAATGTGGTGCCATTATTTAAGAAAGGTGGTAATGGAAAGCAAGGGAACTATAAACTGGTGACTCTGATGTCAGTGGTGGTAAGGTGCTGGAGGTATTCTGAGGGACAGGATTTACATGTTTTTGGAAAAGCAAGGACTGATTAGGGCTAGTCAACATTGGCTTTGTGTATGGGAAATCATGTCTCACTCACTTAATTGAGTTTTTTTTTGAAGAAGTGACAAAGTAGATTGCTGAAGTCTGGGCAGTGACATTGTCTATATGGACTTCAGCAAAATGTTTGACAAGATTCTGCATGGTAGACTAGTTAGCAAGGTTAGATCACATGGAATCCAGGGACAGGTGGCCATTTGGATACAAAATTGGATTGAATGTCAGAGAGAGGGTGATGGTGGAGGGCTGTTTTTTGGACTGGAGGCCCAAGACCAGCAATGTGCTGGATGGATTGGTGCTGGGTTCACTGCTTTTTGTCGTTTACATAAATGATTTAGATTTGAATATAAAGGGAATGGTTAGTAAGTTTGCAAATGACCCCAAAATTGGTGGTGTAGTGGGCAGTGAAGAATGTTATCTTAAATGTACAATGACACCTTGATCGGATGGGCTGATGCGCTGAGCAGTGGCAGATGGAGTTTAATTTAGATAAATGTGAGGGGTTGCATTTTGATAAGGCAAATCAGGGCAGGGCTTATACGCTTAATGGTAGGGTCCTGGGGAGTGTTGCCGATCAGAGATCTTTGGGTGCAGGTTCGTAGTTCCTTGAAAGTGGAGTCACAGACAGGGTAGTGAAGAAGGCATTTCTACATTTGCCTTTATTGGTCAGTGCATTGGGTATAGGAGTTGGAATGTCATGTTGCGGCTGTACAGGACATTGGTCAGGCCACTTTTGAAATCTCTGCTGTAGGAAAGATGTCAGTATATTTAAAATGATTCAGAAAAGATTTACAAAGATGTTGTCAGTGTTGGAGGGTTTAAGCTAGAGGGAGAGGCTGAATTAGCTGAGGCTCTTTTCCCTGGAGTTGGGGTCTGAGGGGTGACCTTACACCAGTTTATAAAATCATGAGAGACTTGGATAGGATGAATGGCCAAGGTTTTTACCCAGGGTAGGGGAAAGATATAAAAGGGACCCAAGGGGCAACCTTCTCATGTAAAGGGCCATGTGTGTATGCAATGAACTGGCAGAGGAAGTGGTGGAGGCTGGTACATTTGCAACATTTAAAAGGCATCTGGATGGGTGTATGAATAGGAAATGTTTAGAGGGATAGGGGGCAAATGCTGGCAAATGGGACTAGATTAATTTAGGATTTCTGGCCAGCATGGATGAGTTGGACCACAGGTTCTGTTTCCTTGCTGGACAACTAACTCTGTAATGAACTTTGAAAGTGGCGGTAGCAGAGTTGTGCAGCAATAGTGTGCTGGACCCATAACTGAGAGGTCACTGGATCGAAACCATCCTCTACTATTTGCATGCCCTTGTTATTGCTGCGAGCATAGAGATGCTGCTCCCAGGAAATACTATTTAGAAAATATCTAGACTTTGAAAGTGGAGTGCTGTCATGGTAATGTCTCTACGTCTGAATTAGTAAGACCAGGTTCAAATCCCACCTTCTCTAAAGGTGTGTCATAACATCTCTGACCGGTTTCATTGGAAAGTATCTAAACTCTGAAAGTGGGCTCTTGTAGCATCGTGGTACTGTCCCTTCTTCTGAACCAAAGGCCTGGGTCATGTTCAACTTGATCCAGAGGTGTTTAATAACATCCCTGAAGAGGTTGATTAGAAAAGAAGGGAGTGATTGCACACCTATAAGTGGCCATCTAAGTGCCTGTAGGATTCTTGATTCCATTAGGCCTTTTCAGCTGAAATAGTGGGAGTTTCCTGCTGGCTGTCCAACTGATGAGTGAAAGCTTGTCAACTCTAAAAGATTGCATCCCTCAATTCAGTCAATTGCTGGTTTTTAATTTTCAGAGATTATCCTGAACCTTGACACCAGCTTCCATATGAAGCAATGGATGCAAATATGACATACTTCTAGTTAGTTAATTATAAATAGCCAGAATTCCATCTTCACGGAATACATTAAGCGGAACAGAAAGAAATCAAAGCATAAATAAAAGTATGGTGGTATTCATATTCATGTTGTATATGTTTTTTGTTCACAGTCCTGCAATTCTTGGAGCAGCTGAAAACTTCACAGTGTTAATAAAGAACAGCATTACTTTCCCTAAGTTCAGTTTTTCAAAGTAAGTATAGCAATGCTTTGAATTGCCCATTTGTACATGTACACAATATAGTGATAAACTGACAGAATAATTTTGTGTTACTGTAGGAGAAATATTTTGACAAACGCAACTGCCAGCTACTTAAGATCTTGTAGATTCAATCGGAATACTGACCCTTTCTGCCCAATATTTCGTCTTGGAGATATGGTTCAAGAAGCAGGAGAGGATTTTCAAAAATTAGCTGTTCAGGTTTGTTTTGCATTGTTCAGATCAAACCTGTTTAAGACCTCCAGAATCTTCATCTAGTAAGCCTTAACAGACTGCTATTGTTTACATAATACACTCCCTGAAATGAGTACTACACAAAACTAGGTGCTTCTCATGAAATTTGATTTATGATGGCTAAACATCTGAATAATTAACAGCCTGTGCAGAAAAAAATAAATATTTTATATTTTTAAAAACAGAATTAAAATTTAAAAACCGAGCTGGATTCAAACATAGTTACGATCTGCTAACAAAACAAATAGTTACGGAGGGAAAAAAGGAGTGAAAAGGAAGTCAACAGTATAATTTTAAAGGAATGACACAGAATAGGACAATTTTCTAACCTATTGTTAGAATCAACATGTCACAAATTAATTTCAGTTCTTATTTGCCTATAACCTTCAATTTTCTCCTTTTTTTTTCTTGTATCTCTCCATGATTCTAATTTTCTAATTTACAGGGATGTGTTGTGACACATTGTTGCACATTTAGTCTCTTCCTTACTGTTTCTCTTTTTTGTCACCCGAAAGCCCTGAATTATTATGACCTTGGTTCTACGAGCATTTGTTGCCATGCAGCATATTGCCAAATGGCTATCATTCACCTACAGAAGTGACAACAATGATGACAAAATGAAAACTGACAAAATGACGATAGAATACAGCACATTACACTGGCTTGTCTTTGCTGAAAGTCCACTCAACGAAATTCTCCTAGTCATTTTTCTTTATTTCTCAATCTTTTCGTTTCATTCTGGTTTGGTTTCTAACTCCCTTTCATCAGATACTACTTTTTATCATGTTTCTGTCTGCTTCTGAATTTTTATCACTTTTCCCTCTTCAGCCACTTTAGTTTTCACTGTACATCCTACAGAATGAGGAGGATGGGAGAATTGATGAGAAACGGATCTTGATTAGCTGGGGAGTGAGAAACTCACTGGTTAAGTGGCCAATGTTATCTTTACTGTCCTGGGTGATGGTTGTATCATTGTCACATGATGACCAAATGATTATTGGCAGAGGAGTGTCCTGTGAGGTCCCATCACAGTAGACCCCAATCCTATCATTTTATAATATGTAGAAATTTAGCAGAAATTACTGGACTTAACATTTGAGCTAAAGAATAGTTTGATTTCTAAACACCACGGCTTTCAAAATGGAGTTCTCATTCCACTGACATGATAGGAAGATAAAATTGTCTACGTTTGGCAAAGACAGGGAATTGAATTAACTTTTATTTCACATACAATCTGTCCTTTGATATTACCTGTTTTACAGGGTGGAGTGATGGGAATTTTAATTGAGTGGAACTGTAATTTAGATCAATCATCATCTAAGTGCATTCCAAAATATGTCTTTCGGCGCCTTGACAACAAAAACTTTGCTGCAACACTATCACCTGGGTACAATTTTAGGTATGTATTCACTTAAAAGTATTTATCAAATAGAAGTCAAACAACTGCAAAATACATTTCAATATTTCAAACTTCTTGAAAGGTTCAATTGGTGAGTACCCTTCCCACTGTGGTGTTAAAGTCTGAAGGCCAGGACCACAATGTCTAGTCTTAATCCCTTGGAGCTTGACTAGTGGAAGGAGAGGAGGAGAAACCAGCAAGATTTTTTTTTCTCCTATTCTGATTAAAAGTAATTTACCTGATAGGTTTCTCTGTCCAGAGATGCTGCCTGATCTGCTGAGCATTTTCAGCATTCTTTGCTCTTATTTTACACTCCTGTTTCATTGTTGTAGGTGGAATGTACGTTTCTGAGTGTTTGAAGAAATGAGGATTGGGTTGATTGTGAATGGTTGAGTTATCTAGTGATTATTTTCTCCATTCCTTTGAAATGATAAAGACCTCTGTTGGGATCAATTAACTCCGAATTGAACCTGTGACTTTGTCTTTAGAGACTGGCAGGCACCTTTTGGGGTGAGGATGCATCATCATCTCCAAGTAACGATATTTGATTTGATTTTTATACGTTTCTGTTCTAGTTCTGTAAACTTCTGTTGACTGATAATTCTTGTTTTTTGTTACAGTTCCCCATTGGGGCTGTTTTTAACTTGATTGACATTCTTTTAAAAGAGTATAACCTACAACATGTATGAAAGTTTTCCTTGTGGCTGAATATCACTTCCAGCAATTCATTTGGAAAAGACCAATCCCAAAATTCTCATTTTCTGGACTGGCCAAAGCAATTTCTATCATTTAGTGTAGATAATCTCAAATGGATTTAAGTATTTTTGGTTGGCAGAGTACTCAATTCTTTGAAATTAGGGTCAAATGCAGGGATGTGCCCTGGCTACCCCATGATGGTGAGTATCCATACAAAAAACATTAAGAACTAACAGAAGACTGTCAAACTTGCCTCCAAAGAAGAAGATCAAAGAAATGCATGGAAATATAGACTAGTTAGGAAAGCTTCTGCAACATTTGTTAAAAGTTCAGATAACAAAATGTATGGAGAAGGGCAATATAATTGAAAATAATCAATCATGGCTTTTGAAAACATGTCTAACTTTATTAAATTCTTTGTCCTTGTCAATTATTTGTAATCTTTTCAATGTAGTGAATGTAATGTACATGGAGTTTCAGAACTGTAAAATATACTTGAGAAATTCATGGCAAAGATCCTAGCATGTGGATTCAGCATCAGTGCAGGAGAATGGATTGAAGTATCTTACACTAAAGAAACCAAAGGGTAGAAGTTAAGGGAAGTATTTTTTCTGGCGTTGCGGAGAGTAGGAAGTGGTATATCACGTGGATAAATGCTGGAACCACTTATAATTTCATGAACTATTTATTCAAACATCGGAAGAACACTGGTAAATTTGCAGATGACGCCAAATCAGGGGCATTGTTAATAATGTGCAAGACTGAACCAAATACAGGATACACACAAATAGGTTGATAGAGTAAATCACAAATTCATTGGCAAAATGTGAGATGATTCATTTTTGTGGGAATAAAATGAACATGCATTCATTAGAAGATTAGAAATAAAATGAGGTGGAGAAGTGAAGAGATTTGGGAACATAAAACATGGCATAGGAACAGGCTCTTTGGCCCACAATGTTGTGCTGAACATGGTGCCAAATTAAAGTAATCTCTTCTGCCTGCCCTTGGTCTATATCCTTCCATTCCTTGCATAATCATGTGCTTATTTAAAAGTTCCTTAAATGCCCTTATCGTTTCTGCCTCCACCCACCACACTCCTACTACTCTGTGTAAAAAGAAAAACTTGCTCCTCACGTATCCTTTGAAATTTCTCCCTCTTGCCTTAAATGTATGCCCCCTAATATTAGACATTTCAACTCTGGGGGGACAAAAGTTCTGACTGTCACCCCTATCTATACATTTCATAATTTTATAGACTTCTCTCAAGTCTTCTGTCAGCCACTGCCATTTCAGAGAAAACAACATGAGTTTTTCTTGCCTCCTTATGGGTCATGCCCTCTAATCCAGGCAGCATCTTGGTAAACCTCTTCTGCACCCTCTCCAAAGCCTCCACATCCTTGTTGTCATGTGGTGACCAGAATCAAATGCAATGCTCTTAATATGGCCTAACCAAAGTCTTATAAAATTGCAACTTGACATCCTGACTCTTATACTCCAATTCCCTGACCAATAAAGGCAAGCATATTATTTGCCGCCTTCACTATCCTATCTACTTGAGTGGCCATTTTTGTGGAACTATGGACTTGAACTTCAAGATCCCTCTGTACATCAATGCTGTTCAAAGTCCTGCCATTAGCTGTATACTTTATCCTAACATTTGATCTCCCAAAGTGCAGGACCTCTCACTTGCCCAGATTAAACTCCATCTGCCATTTCTCTGTCCATATCTGCAACTGATTTACATCCCACTCTATACTTTGACAACCTTCTACACTATCGACAACTCTACCAATCTTTGTATTGTCTGGAACATTATAGATAAATCACGAAAAGTAATAACATTATATGAATTCATAAAAGCTTTATTAAAGTGCTAGGATTTGTTTTTAGATAAGGAGGACACAAAGCATGGCTACAATTTAAGGTTTATGTACAACATTGGCAAAGTGCTGTTCTGGCGTCCGAGTGCAAAATGGTTATTGAAGAAATGTACATGATGAAGAAAAGTTTTACAAAGATATTATGAAAATTCGAGTGCAACTGTCAGGAAGGATCGAGAAGCCTGAAACACTTCTCTCTGAAGATTTGAAAGAGGCTTTTCAAATTATGATTTAATATTTAAGGAGTAGAGTGGCACCATTCTATCTGCTGTAGAGCAATGGTGGATGAGTCCAGAACAGTGGCTATCTTTTTTATTTATGTAGATCTAACAGATCAATTAAGGAATTATGAATTCCTTTACATGCGGCCAGCAGGTTAAACTTGCTGGCACGTGGACCATTTGGAGCAGTTTGCATGTTAAGGGAAAGGTTGAAGGATATTGGGGTAGAGTAAGAGGATGCCTTTAAAGAGAAAGGAGGCTTGTAGAGTATAAGAACGTAGAACAGTACAGCACAGTACAGGTCCTTTGGCCTATGATGTTGTGCCGACCTATTATCCTACTAAAATCAATCTACGCTGCATACCCTACATTTTACTATCCTCCACGTGCCTATCCAAGAGTCGCTTAAAAGTCTGTAAAGTATCTGACTCCACGACCACTGCTGGCAGCGCGTTCCACATGCCCACCACTCTCTGTGTGAAGAACCGATGTCTGACATCTCCCCTATACCTTCCTCCAATCACCTTAAAATTATGCCCCCTCATAATAGTTATTTCCGCCCTGGGAAAAAGTCTCTGACTATCCACTCTATTTATGCCTCTCATCATCTTGTACACCTCTATCAAGTCACCTCTCATCCTTCTTCGCTCCAATGAGAAAAGCCCTAGCTCCCTCAACCTTTCCTCATAAGACTACCCTCCAGTCCAGGCAGCATCCTGGTAAATCTCCTCTGCATCCTCTCTCAAGCTTCCACATCTTTCCTGTAATGAGGTGACCAGAACTAAACACAATATTCCAAGTGTGGTCTAACCAGAGTTTTATAGAGCTGCAGCATAACCTCACGGCTCTTAAACTCAATTCTACTGCCAATGAAAGCCAACCCACCATACACCTTCTTTATGACCCTATCATTTTGGGTCGCAACTTTGAGGGATCCATAGACGTGGACCCCAAGATCCCTCTGTTCCTCCACACTACCAACAATCCTGCCATTAACCCTGTATTCTGCATCCAAATTCAACCTTCCAAAATGAATCACTTCACACTTTTCTGGTTTGAATTCCATCTGCCACTTCTTTGCCCAGCTCTGAATCCTGTCAATGTCCCACTGTAACCTACAACAGCCCTCCACGCTGTCCACAACTCCTCCAACCTTCATGTCATCAGCAAACTTACTAACCCACCCTTCCACTTCCTTATCAAAGTCATTTATAAAGATCACAAAGAGCAAAGGTCCCAGAACAGATCCCTGCGGCACACCACTGAATACTTTCCATGTACTACCACCCTCTGTCTTCTATTGGACAGCCAGTTTTGTATCCAGACAGGCAAATTTCCCTGAATCCCATGCCTCCTTACTTTCTGAATGAGCCTACCATGTGGAACCTTATCGAATGCCTCGCTAAAATCCATATACACCACATCCACTGCTCTGTCTTCATCGATGTGTTTTGTCATATTCTCAAAGAATTCAATTAGGCTTATGAGGCATGACCTGCCCCTCATAAAGCCACGCTGACTATTTCGAATCAAACTGTACTTTTCCAAATAATCATAAATACTATCTCTCAGAATCCTCTCCAATAATTTGCCCACCATAGAATTAAGACTGTATCAGAGATAGTAGGAACTGCAGATGCGGGAGAATCTGAGATAACAAGGTGTAGAGCTGGATGAACACAGCAGGCCAAGCAGCATCATAGGAGCAGGAAGGCTGACGTTTCGGGCCTAGACCCTTCATCAGATATGGGGGAGGGGAAGGGGCACTGACTGCCACTTTGCCCTATTAACTGCTTATCATTCCTCGTAGACTCTCTGCTTGCTCTATCTGTCTGTACACTGGCTACCCCATCCTCTGATCTGTAGCTCCGGTTCCCATCCCCCTCACTTAAATGCTCACTTTGTTCCATTGGACAGATGCATGTTTTTCTGTGGTAGATTTTTGGAGTCCATCCAGGATGTCCATCCTGGGCCTCCTGCAGTGCCACAACGATGCCACCTGAAGGTTGCAGGAACAGCAACTCCTATTCCGCTTGGGAACCCTGCAGTCCACTGGTATCAATGTGGATTTCACAAGCTTCAAAATCTCCTCTTCCCCCACCGCATCCCAAAACCGGCCCAGCTCGTCCCCGCCTCCCTAACCTGTTCTTCCTTCCACCTATCCCCTCCTCCCACCTCAAGCCGCACCCCCATCTCCTGC